GACCAATGCCAATCATTTAGCGCTGCAAGCGCCATAACCAACCGGAACGTCTCATACCTGACGACAGGAGAGAATATCTCGTCATAGTCAACACCTTTGACTTGACTGAAACCCTTGGCAACTAGGCGGGCACGTTTTCGGCCATCAGATCTTTGGTCAAAGACCCAGCGACATCTGATAACCTTCCGTCCTTTTGGACGGTCCACAAGGGAATAGACCTTGCGCTGACGAAGTGCCTCTAACTCATTGCGGCAAGCATCAATCCAACCTTTCTGTTGTTCAGAAGGCAACCGCTTGATATCACGGAACGTCCAATCGCGAATTTTAGATGTATCAGGTAGATTCTCATTTGGAACCGCTTTTGACAGCAGCGCCGTGATGAGCTCTACTCCCCCTTCCTGGCATAGCTTCTCCATGCGTGCATCCTCGTCTAGATCATCAGAAGCACCTGCGTTTGAGGAATCTGGTTGCGAGCTAGGGCCGGGAACCCCTGCATCAGCACTGGTTGATGGTTGAGATTGGGAGCTACCCTCATCTTCACCAACATACCGCTTCCATCCTCTGCTGTTCTGGATGTCACAGACTATATCCGTAGGGGTACGCTTTTCCCCATAGACGTTTCCTGGACGTGTAGGCACATTCTGCTGGCGTGAAGACCTTCGAGGCTCGGGAGCTGGTGAAGCTTCCCGACTTGGTTGTGGAATTCTACTTCTACGAGTCCTCTGAGGTTCATCCCGACGCTCTGGCGGTGGGTCCTGACGATTATGACCGTTGTCACCATCATCATTTCCTCGTACGGGAGGTGGTGGAGCTGGATCAGATGGCATGGGGAATGGAAAAGGATTATCTCCATATAGCCAATCTTCTCCGTCTACCTGTGGTGGATCTTGTGGATTCACTGGGTCATCACGTTCTGGAAATTCCTCTCCAACTGGAACGTGGGGTGGTCGATTGCTGTCAGGACAGCGAGGGAACAATTCCTCATCGAACAATGCCTTGGTGGCGACGAACGTGGAATTGTTTGTGCGCATGAATAAAAATCCTTTCACACCATCAGGAATGCCCAAGTAGGTCATCAGCTCCGATTTGGGCGATAACTTGTTGGCGCGCTTCTCATCAGGGATAAAGACATATGCAGCACAACCAAAGACTCGGAGTTCGGAAACATCCGGTTTTTCCTTGTGAAGAGCTTCAAATGGAGTTTTCCATTTTAGACGCCTGATAGGTGTCATATTGTAGATCCGTGTCGCATGTTTGATAGCGAATTCCCAATAAGAATTAGGAAGACAGGCAGTGAAGCGCATGGCTTCTGCCTTATCCATGATCGTTCGATTGAAGCGCTCGGCATGCCCATTCTGCTGGTGAGCATATGGAGCACCCTTCTCCACTAGAATTCCTTGTTCCGCGAGAAATTCTTCCATTCCCATCCCCATGAATTCTCCCCCATTGTCAATATGCCACTTTTTGATGGTGACATTGAACTGGTTTTTGACCATCGCAATGAAATTGCGCATAACCTGCTTGGCGTCGGATTTCTGCACAAGGCATACTGTCCAGCCGTAGGAGAGTGCTTCGTCGAAGAAGCTCATGAAGTAACGGTACTTGTGATAAGACACCATGGGAAATTGTTTGAGATCCGAGTGGATCAAATCAAACAGATTCTCCACTCGTTTTTGGAAGGTGGGAAGGCACGTTGGTGCATTTTCCCTTGTGCGCATCCTTTACACGGTCGGGTTTCCTCGGGAAATACTAGGTCTTCTGGAAAGCCCTTGGTATTTTTCTTTGCCTGACGTAAAACGTCTTTTGACGGATGTGCAAATCGCCAGTGCATGATCTCATAATCCACCTTGTAAACAGTGGACATGGATCGCACTGTCTCAACCGTGCTAGGCTTTGACATCAGGAAGTACAAGGCAATGTCCTTCCCTAGAGTTCTAAACTCCATGATCGAGAGTGGGGACTTCCCTCGATGTAAGCTGATCCGTGATTCGTCTCCACGAACGCGAGATCCTCCTTTGAGTAAGGAGCCCAAAGACATGAGACAACCATGTAATCCTGGCACTAGGTACACTGGATATATCTGAGAAGTCACCATAGTCTTTTCTCCATGCCTTGTGACGTAATGATTGATGAAGGCTGTTCCTCGACCAATAAGGGCAACACGTGTGTTCTTATCAGCGGTCTGAGCAACAATAGGATCTGAGAGCTTCTCATATCCGACCAGATCACTAATCTCCGATGTCACATGGAGAGATGCACCAGAATCGAGAAGCCATAGAGGCCCTAATTCATGATGATGATGATGTTTCCCCTTACACTTAGAGCAGGCAGCAAAATCGGAGTGCACACAGAATAGATTGGTACAAAAATCATGCGATTGAATCATCAACGAATTAAGTCCAGAACCCGGGGCGGCGGTGATTACGCGCTCTGGCTGTGAGCAACAATCAGAATTGTGCATATGCCCAAGAAGGCAGGGTACTTGCCTTTCGGCGGAAGGAGCGTCCATCTCCTCCAGAAGGGTGTTGAAGTCGACGACCTCATCCCAATTGACGGGTTCAGTTTGGGTGAACTTGCTATCTCCAAACAGAAGATCAAGATCATTCTGTTGGCCGGTGGCCATCTCAACGTCAGGGATCTCCTCGATACGACTGCGTTTGGCAGGAGGACCACTATCCAGGGTGTGATTCGAGCCGGAAGCAACCGGAGATGGAGAACGCATGATTGCGTCCTCGCGGAGCATTCCTTTCTCATTGACTATCTTGTCAAGAGTCCGGAAGCGTTCTGCGGTCACCGTCACATCCATCTTCTTGGCCAGCTCGAAGACCTTACGAGTAGGCTTCTGGAACTCGGTGTCAATAATCCCATTGTTGTTAACGGGAGACTTCTCTTGAACTGCGCGGATTTTGGGTCCATCGCAAGAGATGTGCGTGACATGCGAGATCGTCGGCACAGGGATAGACGGAGTGAGCAAGGCGATCGAACTGATAGTGAGGGAGCCAGTGATCTCGGAGACTCCATGGACATGACTGTGATCAGCCTTGCCCTTGCCCTTGTTGTCCTTGTTCTTCCCACTGCGCTTGCCTCGACGGTTCTTCTTCTTTCCATCAGCTTTATCACCCTTGTCGGGTGCAGAGCCAGAGCCCTGTTGCTGATTGGTGAACGAAGGGTCATCGCGCTTGCACTTGGTATTGAACTTGGCCACATGATTCTGGCTTTGAGACTGCTTCTGAGCAAAATGCGTCAAGAGAGCATCGCGAACCACCAAGACTTTGATCTCGTCCTTGTCGTAAGTCTGCAGAACAGTCTCCGTGACAGAGGGAATCCGGGCTATGTTGAGAATGATCATCGCCCTGAGGAACTCAGGAATGATCAAAGACTCATTCTCCAGGCGAGTGAACGCCGTAGTGATCACCAGCAGCTGTGGATCCGGGTGCAACCCCACGTTGTACTTGGAGTTCAACGCGGCTTGGAAGTACGCGTACAGGTCGGCGCACTGAGCACCACCATATTGGGTCTTCAGATGCTCCCAGATCTTGGCAGCGGACACTATTTCGGTGGCAGGAATGTTAGCAATGACACCTTCAGTCAGGTGCAACTTAATGCTGCCTTTGGCCCTGAGGTCGTCATGCTTCCACTGCTTGATTTCCAATTTGTTGGACACAGTGCCATCAGATGCTTTGACTTCAGTTGGCACGGTTTTGGTCAGCACATATGAGATCCCCTGATGCTCCAGATAGGACTCCATAGTTCCGGACCAGACAAGCCAGTGCTTTCCATCAAAGATGGAGACAGCATTGAAGATGTTGTTGGAGTTGGACGACATGTTAGATCTGAGTGAGTGATCAGCATCAATCTAATCTGATAGATAAAATCAAAGATAAAGATGATCAGATCCTCATAGATCATAATCTCCTTTAGAGATCGATGCATCTGGATTGAGCAATGTAATTGCAATCTGGCATGGTTTCACCAGCACTATGCAGCAGCTGAAGTGAATACAGATAGGCTAAAGACGCTGCTCATTGTTGCAGCCAGTGACGGCGCATACAATGAATGTCGCGGCCACTGAGGCGCAGACATAGCTCTCGGGGCCCATAACCTGTTGAGCACTGGGGAGAGCGTCTAGCAGCTCACCTGTGTGAGTGAGAGCTTAGTGTGGGCACTATGCGGGAGTAGTCAAGAGACTTGTATTAAAGGGTAATAGAGCCCTCCTTATATATGATACAGGGGGCCGTTTGTATCTATTTGGGACGAGTCGATATGACTCTAGATGACATGTGATGGAGTCATAGATGTGTATCACGACATCCATCTTGACAGATGATATTTGATCAACAATCGATGGCTGGCGCAGCGAGATGGATGGACTATTGATCTTTGTGATTAAACCGTATTGACCCACCACTGTCGCGCAACACGTGACACATTTGGTCAGGTGTTTGATGACTCTTGCCTTCAATTTTTGTTGTCAAGTCCCACGTAAATGTACACCAGCCACTGTCTATGAATTGCGTGTGTCGCTTCAAAGGAGACACCAGCGTTGATATTCTGGGACACTGGCTTGAAAATGTGTGTGTGATAGTAAACGGGACAAAGCTCAGGGATCTGAGCTTTCCGACTTGGAATAACTAGCCTGTGTGTGGGAGTGAGCAACGAATACCCGGGATCTTAGTAGTCCGAACAATACATCATGTAAGTACTGGATACTGAAGAATACCTATGTGATGGGTAGAGTGTATATAACAGACGAGCACTTTTTGCGATTAAGGTCTACCCGACATGTGAGTAATCAAATTCTGACATTAATTGGCTACGTCTATTGTACATTGGCCTTCAGTCCGAAATCGAGTGCATGGCCAGTGGCTGGTGTACATTTACGTGGGACTTGATGACGAAAATTGAAGGCGAGAGTCATCAAACACCTGACCAAATGTGTCACGTGTTGCGCGACGGTGGTCAATACGGTTTAATATCATTGTGCGTCCCCCCTTCCGTTTTGAATTCTGGTCCCTCTCTGAATCTGACTTATTAGGCCGGTCTCTTCTCGGGAGTCGTCACCGGATTCATTATCGAAAGCTACAAGACGCTGAATGTGGACCCGGGTGGCCAGACCGTTGTGCTGCTCAGTCAGACTGTTGCACTCCTCAGCCAGATATCGCATCAGCTTGCGAACATGAATAACGGCACAGCCGTGAAGGACGTACTTCCTCCCCCTGCTGCGTTCTTGCCCCCAGCCTCCTCTCTTGTCTGCAACGCGCTTTGGTTCACCAGTCTTACACTGAGCTTGTCAAGTGCCCTTGTTGCGACTCTGGTCAAGCAGTGGGCCCAAGAGTACCAGCACCGGACAACCATGTTCTCTTCCCCCTCTGTCCGCGCGCGTGTGTACATGTATCTCTACTACGGCTTACGGCGTTTCGATATGCACGCCGTTGTCGGCGTTCCCCCGCTTCTCTTGCACGGGGCACTACTCCTGTTCTTTGCAGGCCTAGTTGCCTTTCTCGTGCCCGTCAACATCATCATCATGTGCATCTCTTCCGCTCTTCTGCTCCTGTTTGTCTCCGTCTACGGAGCGTTCTCCTCCCTCCCACTCTTCTTCTTCGACTGTCCGTATCAGACACCGCTCACACGGATCTTGTGGTCGCTGAATCGAAGTTTGGGAAGCGTACTGAGGGCTTATATATGGAGGGCAGTGGCTGTTTGCAAGGCCTTCACCCGAAAGCGAATCACTGTGACAGACCCCGAGAAACCCGCGGAATCTCCTGTGACGAACTCCGAGGCCTCTGCCAAGCGTCCTGCCCCTGCCGACACTCGTCCGCAGTCCCAGAGCATGGTGGACGCCTTGAAATCAGCAGCACTGCATCCCGCCGTCGACACAGAGACACACGCACTCGCGTGGGTCTTCCGGTCTCTCTCTGACGATGAGGAGCTTGAGAAACTTGTCAAGGGGATCCCCCAGACGCTATGGGATTTCGATCAAAACAAGCCTCGCGGTGTGTATCAGGCACTCTTCCAGTCCCTGTTGCAGGATCGGGAAGTCCATCTCTGCCAGCGTCTTGCTGATTTTATGGCTGGCTCCAACAGCAATCTGCTTGAGGAAAAAGTCCGCCTCCGCCGTCAGCTCTCCGTGCTCCGTGCCATCTGGGCCATCTGCGCGTTCTCTCTTCACACGGGATTGCCTCTGCAAAGTCCGATCGGAGAAGTCGACGTGGACAACGCACTATTCGGTACGAACTTTCTTCAGTCCGACGAAGTGCAGAGCATGCTCCCTGGCGTCTCCGCTCTGATCCGTCTGAACATGATCGAGTCTCGGAGTCAGGAGCGGGCGTTGAGCGACTACGACGGTGATATTCGCACCGAAGCCGAAGAGCAGCGGCAAACGGACATGCATCGCACGTACACGCAATATCTGCTGGCACTTTCCAAATGCTCCGCCAGCTTCCAACGGGATGCGACCAATTCACTCTTTTATCGGTCACAAATGCGATTTACGGAAGCGGATGGCTACTCGACTCTGTATATTGCTCTCGAAAAGCTAATCAGTTCTGTGTGGGACAAGACAGTGGACGAGACAGCGGACAGCGTCGTCTTTGCTGCTCGTCTGATGATCAGCCCGTTTGCCCAGACATCCAATTATTCCGTTCGGTCGCTGCCGGGTCTTGGGCCGTTCCTTGTTCGACATCCGTCTCTTGCCGTCTCTGACCCGGAATTTGACTCAAAGCATCATTCACAGGCCGCTCCAAAGTATCATTATACCCGATTCCTGTCCCTCCGTCTATGCGACTGCTTCGAGTTCCGATCAAATCCCCAGGCCAGTGTCGACGCCCTCCAGCTTATTTATCAGAATTGGCTCGGGTCTGATGTACCACCAAAAGACTTTGATACCCATCTTTTGGTCCTCCGCACTCTGCAGGAAGCAACCGACATTCGCACGCACCGTTTGGCTATCATCGTCCAGTCTGTCGTGCTCAAAAGTTTGCGGCAGGATTCGTCGAAATGGGAGCGATTGCCGAGTATCTTCGACGACGAGGACTGGTTCCGTGCCGTGCTCGGCCTTGACAACGATGAACGAATGGAGCGTGCATCGGCACAGCAAGTTCACGACTGTGTCCGTGGACCGTGTGGGCGTTTTTACCACTTTCCTCGAGCACTGTACCGCCCGGAGTCCGGATCAAACGGAGCGCGACTTGGACTTTGAGACGCTCAACTCGGTAGTACACCGCGCAGTCACTAACAAATTGGTATACGCATTCACCCGCATTCGTTCGGTGATCCCGATCAGACTGCAACGTCGATTCGCCAACGCCGCCTCTGCATTCATCCGCAAATATCCAAAGGACTGCCTTGTGGGTGTGAATGAGCTCTACTGGGTGCTTGCCTTGGCCGTCAATGAGTACAACGGGTGGATGACCAATGTCGATGCATTGCGCGTCCTGGACACGGCTGTGTCCGAGGTTCAGACGGACAATCAGTGGCAAGAACACCGGGATAATGCTGAAGGGATCTGGGGATACATGAAGAAGCGACTTCTTCCCGAAGACATTCCTGCCGAGTATGTCCCGCTCGTCAGTTACCCGGAGTGGGAGGAACATCACAGAGGGTGTCATTTTCCATCGATTTAGCCTACAATCCATGTATTCTGTATGTTCAACGAGATCCTCTTCACTGTGCCTGAGACCCTCCGTTGATCTAGTCTTCGCGCGTCTATACACGTTTGTCACGGTTCATGCAGATCGGATTGCCCAGACCGCATGTCGCGGAACTCTCTAGGGCAAATCCAATAACGAGCACCAGGAAGGCGGTGTTTTCGTCGGCTTCATTTTCGTCGTCAGCGGATGCGTTTTCGCGCTGAGATTCGACAGCTCGTCCTTTTGGGGCCCGAACGGCTCGAAGGTGCCCATGCATACGGTCTCAGACTCAGAGAACGCGGCGAAATGTTGATCCATTGTCGACATCTAGGGACTCATCGTCCTACACCAGGGACTGCTCGACGTCCTGCGGTAGCTCGCCATCCGCGAAGGACATCAGCCGCGTTGCCACGGCCTGAGAACTGCAATGAACACCATCACAGAGCAGGCGCAAGCAAGCCTACTCACCCAACAATCCGGCTCTTCCTGACGAATCTCTTCAACATCATGTTGTTCAAGCTGTTCCTTGTGGTGGAGTCTGTTCAGCTCGCTTGATCGGCTTGATTTCGTCGTTAGTGTTTGCATCTTCTTGACTAAGATCGACACCTCGTCCTGCCCGGGCCAGGACAGCTCGAAGGTGCTATTCGGGATCCTCGTTGCTACGCCATTGCGCGACTGTTCAAACAGATAAAGCGCCCGTGTCGTTAGCCGCTGGATGCTTGGCACAAACATGCCCGCTCCGGAGTTGAGGCATGATCATGGAAGACAGTACGATCTGTGAGGGTTTGAGCTGGCGCACAAAGGGACGTGATAGGGTGGTTTGGGATGGCGGGTGCGGAGCAGCATCGGTAAGCCTAGAGAAGCGCTGGATGTTTTGATGAGATAGACACAGATGTTGCCTGAGGACGCGCGCCGAAATGTCGATACATTGTCGACATCCACTGATAACCCATGAATGTGATACTATCTCGAGTGACGTGCATGGAGATTGAGGGATACCATCCTCGACCTCTGACAGCTTGAGGTCCTTTAGGAGCACGCAATGAACGAAGTGCAGTGAACCTGTTGGTCGCCGACCCGTCGCAATGGCCTGAGTTGGAATGAACACCGACAAGGAGCAAACAAAAGCAAGCCTGCCCACCTGCGAACAATTGGTCATTAACAGCTCCCACAAGTCCACGCCGTTTCTGAACCTCGCTTGCTTTAGAACCCAATCTGGGACAGTGGTGGTCTGGGAAGAGGAACGTCAGATCAGTCAACACCAAACACGATGCATTCTACTGACGCAGGCCAATCTAACGTCACAGAGTGAGACCCCGAAGCTGTGGTGTGATGGATCGACCTACGCTTTGTGCCAGCTTTGCAAGAAGCTGAAAGACAACATACGTGCTCTCAATCGTGTGCTGGAGAGGACAGAGGGCGCGAATACCACCATCAGCGCAAGCTTCTGCACTTCTGCGACACTTGAGAGGCCCTCCCACGGCGCCCGTGTGTGGGACTGCTTCCGCCGCATTCAGATCGTGGGCTGCAGAGGACGGCGGTAGGTAGATCAAAGGCGAGGTCGTGTGCGGTATCAATGAGCGGTGGGCCGCTCCCTTGTATCGATTGCCCTGGTGCATCAGGATCCCCCAGAATGCCCCAGCGGCTGCATCTCATCTTCCAGCTGAACCGAGTCACTTGAGGTGAGAGCGCCAAAGAATCACGGCGCTTGCGCGAAGTACAGCTCACACAGACGTGTTGTCTCTTCGTATGTTGTGGGACGGCCAATCACAAAGTCCGAGCCGATTCCTGACGCGTCGCGAGAGAACGAGTATGCACAATGTCATTGGCAATTGCTACTGCATTGCTACCGCATTCGAGACTCGTGACAAGCTTGATGGGGTGTGACAGCACTTGTTTCTTCCAATCCACTTCGAACGAAAGGCGTTTGTGAACAACCGGTTTCAGTCCGATGCGAACCACATCACTCTAAGCATGGGTGTGCACAACATCCATGGCGAAGAACGACCGTCAATCTGATGTCGCTACAGATTGTGCGAGCGTCGTTCACCACGGAGAGGACCATCTCGGCAGAGGTTAGCAAGATTGGAACTCTGGACCGTCTCAAAAACATCGGATAGGATGTGACAATGCGGCTTCGAGAAGAGCTGCGAGAGACGGGACGATCTCATCACATGTGACCAAGTAGTACAACGGGCTAATCTGAGTCTACTCTTTCCCTTTCGAAACGATGCGTCTCGTTGGATTTTAACGACTTCTCATCTCCTCACTGAGATTCTACGGCGACTGAGGGGCATGCGCGCGCCTTCTGGGACCGACCCTGTCGTACTGGTGCTTGATGCCGTCCGTCCATCTCCTGGAAGCGCCAATGGACTCCCTTGCCTTGGGATGTGCCGCCGGCCAATCTTTGTGCCGTCCGAGCTTGCATTGGCTTCTTTGAGCGCCTGTGTCTAAATTCACCAGTCTGGCGTTGGGCGCTTGGTGGCTGTGAGCCGTGGAATTGTTCCAGTGAGGCAGCGTGTATGGAGAAACGCTGCTCGAACACGAGGCAGAGCACTTCACCTCCCGCCTTTGACCATGTCCCAAGCTGACAGACCACAGACTGAGAAACAAGAAGCCGGCGAAACTTATTCTGAGCGCGAGAGGGCCAGCGGGAACAAGTTATGGAGCATCTACATCTCCGAGGCGCAGAGCTACGATCAGGGTCTCATTGATGGCTGGCGCAGTGAGATGGACGGTCTACTGATCTTTGTGCGTCTCCAATCGTTTTCAATCCCGGTCTCTCTCTGACTATGACTGATCAGGCCGGTCTCTTCTCTGGCGTCGTCACCACCTTCATCATTGATAGCTACAAGACGCTGAACCCCGACTCGGGGAGCCAGACCGTGGTGCTGCTCAGCCAGATCTCGCACCAGTTGGCAATCATGAACAACGGAACGGCGGTGACGGACTCACTGCCTCCCCTCGCTGCCTTCTCGCCCCCGGTCTCATCTCTTATCTGCAACGCACTGTGGTTCACCAGCCTCGCACTTAGTCTGTCCAGCGCGCTTGTCGCGACTCTGGTCGATCAGTGGGCGCAGGAGTACCGGCACCGGACAACCATGTCCTCGTCTCCCTCTGTTCGGTCACGTGTATACATTTATCTCTTTCCCACTTTGCAGAGTTTCAATATGCACGCCGTTGTTGGCGTTCCGCCGCTTCTCCTGCACTGGGCACTGGTACTTTTCTTTGCGGGTCTGGTGGCATTCCTTGTGCCCATCAACATCATCATCATGGGCATCTCCTCCGCCCTGCTGCTCCTCTTTGTCTTGGTCTATGCAACGTTCACGGTTCTCCCGCTGTTCTCCTCCGACAGTCCGTTCCAGACGCCATTGACACGGATTCTCTGGTCGCTGATTCAGAGCTTGAGGGCTTATATTCGAACGGCAACGCCTGAGATGGACCACGAGGCCCTTACCAAATCTCGTCCGCAGAGCCACACCATGATCGATGCTATGAGATTAGCAGCACGGAAGTCGAATGTGGAGAGAGAAACTTGGGCTATTGGGTGGACCATACAGTCTCTCTCTGATGATGTCGAGTTTGAGCAGTTTGTGGAGGTTCTCCCCTACGTGCTGTGGAATTTTGATAGAGGGAAGCCATGCAGCACGTATCAGACACATTTCCAGCGCTTGTTGCAAGATTCAAAAGGCCCTCTCGGCCAGCGTCTTGCGGATTTCATGGCAGGCTCCAATAGCTATCTGCTTGAGGACCAAGTCCGCCTCCGCCGCCAGCTCTCCGTGCTCCGGGCCATCTGGGCCATCTGCGCGTTCTCTCTTCACACGGGGTCGCTGCTACAAAGCCCGATCGGAGACGCTGATGTGGACAATGCGCTGCTCGCTTCAAAATTTCTTGATTCCCCCGACGTGCAGGGCATGCTTCTCGACGTATCTGCTCTGATTCGTCTCAACATGATCGAGTCTCGGAGCTGGGAACGGCTCCCCGCTCAGCCGAACAGCTCCGGCGGTGGTATCCATCCTGAAGCGGAGAGGCAACGGCAAGCAGACATGCATCGGACGTATACACGGTATCTGGTAGCACTTTCCCAATGCGCTGCCAGTTTCCAACGGGAACAGACCACTTCGTTCTTCGATCGGTCACAAATGCACTTCACGGAAGCAAACGGCTTCAAAACTCTGCAATGGGCTCTCCAGCAGCTGATCGACCATGCCTCTGACAAAGCAGTAGACAACGTCGTCTTTGCTGCTCGCCTGATGATCACTCCGTTTGCCCAGACGTCAGAATATCCAAAGAGGCTGTGGCTCACTGGTCTTGGGCCGTTCCTTGTCCGGAATGCGTCCCTTGCCGTCTATGACCCGGAATTCGACTCGCAGCCCGCTTCGAAGCATCATTACACCCGATACTTGTGCCACAAGCTAGGCGTCAACTTGTTCATCGGAATGAATCCCCAAGAATGTGTTGACGCCCTTCAACTGATTTACCATCCTCTGCTTGAGTCTGGTGTACCACCAAGAGACTTCGATACCCATCTTTCGATCCTCCGCACTCTACAGACTCAAACAGCCGACATCCGCACGCACCGTTTAGCTGCCATCGTCCAGTGCGTTATGCTCAAATGTTTCTGGCCGGATTTATCGAAATCGGGCGATGTGTCGGAATGGGAGCAATTGCCGAGTATCTTCGAGGACAAAGAGTGGTTCCGCTCCGTGCTCGGCCTTGACAACGATAAACGGACGGAGCGGGCATCGGCAAAGCAAATTTACGAGTGCGCATGTCTGGGTGTTATGACCACTCTTTTCGAGCAGTGTACCGCCCATAGTCTGGATCAAACACTCAAATCAGTACTCGGCACAGTCACTCGCATTTCTTCGGTGATCCCGGCTGGACTGCAACGCCGATTCGCCAACGCCGCCTCTGCATTTATCCGCAAATATCCAACGGACTGTCTTGCGGATGGGAATGGGCTCTGCTCGGTGCTTGACTGGGCCGTCAAGGAGGACGACGGATGGATGACCAATGTCGATGCATTGCGTGTCCTGGACACAGCTGTGTCGGAGGTGCAGACAGACGATCAACAGAAAGCACACCGGGACAATGCTGCAACGATCCGCGGATACATGCAAGAGCAGCTCCTTCCCGAGGACATCTTTGCCGCCTTTATCTCGCTTGTGAGTTCCAGGAAGTGAAGAGGCCAAGTGCACAGAAGGATTTGTTTTCCCGTACTTTACCAACAATCATCCTTGTATTCCCTATGTATGACGAGCAACACAAGCTGGATCCTCGTGAGACCCTCCGTCGATCAGGACCTCTCAGTCAACGAGACATGTCAGAGGGCCGCGGCCATTCTAGCACGTTTGGCACGGTCACACAGATTGGATCGTCCAGACCGCACGTCACAGGACTGTCGCTATCGGGGAGTGCAACTATGAACAGCTGCTTGGGCAAATCCAATAACGAGTGCCCGGAAGGCGGTGTTTTGGCTGGCTTGGCTTTTGTCGTCAGCGTATGCGTCTTCCCACTGAAGATCGACAGCTCGTCGTTCCCGGCCCGGGACGGCTCAAAGACGTTGCTCGAGATCAGCGCTGCAGCGCCCGTTTTGTCAGCCACTGAGTGATCGGCACGAACTTGCCTGCTCTGGAGCTAGGGCAAATTTCAGCACCTGCCTCGAACAGCTCGCATGCCTTCTGCAGCTCAATCAGAGCAGCCTGTGCCACTTTGGATCGTGTCGCATAAGTGACAACGGAAGACAGCACGGTCTGTGGGGGTTGAATCCACCGAGAATGACATACATGGTGATTGAGGGTGTCACCCACGACCTGGGACCGCTCGACCTCCTGCGATAGCCCGTGATGAGCGAAATGTAGCGAGAATGTCAACAACCGACCATCGCCTAGGTCTGTGAACCGCAATGATCACCAAATAGTGCAAACGGAAGCAAGCCTGTCCATTAGTGTCCACCTGGCAGCAGGCAGCGAAGAACAGCTCACAGGAGAGAGCATGTCATTTCTAGACCTAGGATGCTTTGAAACCCCATCCAGCACAGTCACTCTCTGGGAAGAGGACGTCAGATTTGGCAAGGGCCCGAAAGGATGCAATCCACGAACGCAGGCCAATCTAAGGCCGCAGAAATCAGATGATGAAACTGAAGCGTGAAGAATCGACTGACGCTATGCATCAATTTTATAGACGGGCCAAAGACGGCCCATCTACTCCCTACGCTGTATTCTCTCCAGCACATACGTCCTTGAATCGTGGGCTGCAGGGAACAGCGGTCGCACATCACCCAGCGCGCAACAGGACAAGATAACAGCGATCAACGCGAGGTGGTGTGCGGTACCAATGGGCGTTGTTCAGCCCCATCGTGTCGATTTCCTTGAAGCCTCAGGAAACCACAGCCCCCAACGGGAGTATCCCGTCTTCCAGCTGACTAGACGTGACAGCAACAGAAACCCACGGGGCTTGCGACGAGTAGAGCTCGTTCGAACGTGTTTTTTCCTCGTATGCTGGGAGACAGCCGGCCCAAGAGTACAAATCGATTTGCGACGCGTTGCTGGAGAAGGGGGATACATAATGTTGTTGTCGAACCGTTGTTGCTGCAGTGCTGGGCCGCATTGAAAACTCGCGAGATGAGACTCACGTGGTTTGACAGTAGGCGTTTCTTCCGAACCACTTGGTTTTGCGCGAACGGTTTTGGATCGAGGTCAACCGTATGTCTCCGAGAATTGGCGTTCACCGCCCTCTATTGAGAAGCACGCCGTCCATTCGATATCGGTGCAGAGCGTGCAAACGTGGTGCAACACGGCAAGATTCATCTCAGCTGGGGCAGGAAAGGTCGGAGCGGTGCACTGCATGACTAGGCATCGGATTGGCTAGAGACAGTGCGGTTTGGGGAGGATCTGCGAGGGAAGTGCATCACACCGCATGTGACCAAGTCCCACGGACACATTCAAGTCGAGTCGTTGGATCTCCACGACTTCCCATCTGCTCACCAGGATCCTTTGGCGATATAAGCGAGAAATGTGCACCTACTGGGACTGACGCTGTATTACTAGTGCCTGATGCCATTGGTCCATCTTCTGGAAGCACCCGCTGGCACGTCCTGCCAGCATGCGCCTCTGACCCATCTTTGTTCGTCTGAGCTTGCGATAGCCTGAGTAACTGTGTCTGAATCCCTGATTCAGGCGTCGAGCGCTTGATTGCTGTCAACTGCGGCATTGTTCCATTGAGGCAATGTGTCTGGAGAAACGCCGCTCTAACACAACTTCCCTCCTGCCTTTGACCATGCCACAAGCTGACAGACAACAGGCCGATAAGCAAGAGGCCGATGAAGCTTATTCCGAGCGTGAGAGGGCCAGTGGGAACAAGCTTTGGGGTGTCTACATCTCCGAGGCGCAGAGCTACGATCAGGGTCTCATTGATGGCTGGCGCAGTGAGATGGATGGACTATTAATCTTCGTGCGTCTCCGACCTTTCTCAATCCCGGTCCCTCTCTGAATCCGACTCATCAGGCCGGTCTCTTCTCCGGCGTCGTCACGACATTCATCATCGAAAGCTACAAGACGCTGAACCCCGACTCGGGCAGCCAGACCGTGGTGTTGCTCAGTCAGACCGTTGTGCTTCTCAACCAAATCTCGCACCAACTTGGGAACTCGAACAATGGCACGGCGGTAATGGACGCACTCCCTCCACCCGCTGTGTTCTCGCCCCCGGCCTCCTCCCTTATCTGCAACGCACTCTGGTTCACGAGTCTTGCACTCAGCTTGTCGAGCGCCCTTGTCGCGACTCTGGTCGAGCAGTGGGCGCGGGAGTATCAGCACCGGACTACCATGTTCTCCTCCCCGTCCATCCGGTCACGCGTGTACATGTATCTGTACTACGGTTTGCGCCGCTTCAATATGCATGCTGTCGTCGGTGTTCCCCCACTTTTGCTGCACGCGGCACTCCTTCTGTTCTTTGCGGGTCTGGTGGCATTTCTCGTGCCCATCAACATCATCATCATGGGGATCTCCTCCGCTCTTTTGCTCCTGTTCGTCTCCGTCTATGGAACGTTCACTGCGCTCCCCCTGTTTTTCTTCGACAGTCCGTATCAGACGCCGCTGTCACGAATCCTTTGGTCACTGAAGCAAAACTTGGGGCACCGACTGCAGGCTCATGTTCGAAGGACAGCGGCCAAGGACCCCGAGTCTCTCACCGATCTTTCTGTCCCTGTAGACACTTGTATGCAGGCCCAGAGCATGGTGGAAGCTATGACTTCAGTGGCACTGCAGTCTACTGTGGACGTAGAGACTCGGGCTCTTGCGTGGGCGATACGGTCTCTCTCCGACGATGACGAGTTTCAGCCATTTGTCGAGGGGCTCACTCAGGCACTATGGGACTTCGAGAAAAACGAGGGCCGTGCCGCGTATCGGGCACACTTTGAAAGGTTGCTGCGGGATCCGCAAGTTCGGCTCTGCCAGCGTCTCGGGGACTTCATGGCTGGCTCCAACAGCGATCTGCTTGAGCACCCAGTCCGCCTCCGTCGACAGCTCTCAGTACTCCGGGCACTCTGGGCTGTCTGCGCATTCTCCATTGCCTTTGGGTCGCCACTGGAGTGTCCCATCGGAGAAACCGACGTGAACAGCGCGCTGCTTGGCCCAAAGTTTCTCGGTTCTGCCGAAGTGCAGATGCTGGTCCCCGGCGTTGCGGCTCTGATTCGTCTGAATATCATCGAGTTCTGGGCCGCGCAGCCCAACGGAGAAGCGACGCATCAGGCCCTTGCTCGCCTCGCCATTAAGACGATCCGCACGGGGGATGGCCGCAGCATCACAACCGCCTTGTTCTTGACAAGTGGCCGCAGCACATTCGAAGAGGAGAAGCGATGGGCGTACGCGCAGTATCTGATCAATCTTTCTGAGAGCCCTGCGAGTTTCCAGCGGGAACTGACCCATTCGCTCTTCCATCGGTCGCCAGTCCCCTTCCTAGCCGGGGACCAAGACCCTGTCATGGTAGAAGCCCTGGAATTGTTGATTGGAATAGAGTCCGAAGAGAAAACGGACAATCATGTCTTCGCTGCTCGCCAGATGATCTGCGCAATTGCTCAGACGTCAACATATCCACCTCCTTCGGCGCATGAATCCGAGTATATGCTGCCAACCGGTCTTGCACCGTTCCTTGTCCGACATCCTTCCCTCGCTATTTTTATGCCCGGCTCTGTCTGGCAGCCCGATCTGGAGGAAAAGTACACCCGATACCTGTGCAACTGCATGCTTTTCAACCTAGTACACCAACTCGATTTACAAGCATCAGTGGACTCCCTCAAGCTGATCTATTATCATTTGGACGACATTCACTCAAAACACTTGGAGGACCTCGATGCCCATTTGCTGACGCTCCACACCCTGCGGAGTTCGAGCGCTCGCACAGCATGCATCCACGTACATCATGTGGTTGCCCTAGTTCAGAGCGTTGCGGTTTGCTGCATCTCGTGGGATTTATCGGAAGCGACGAGAGGGCTGGGTGTCTTTGACGACGAGGACTGGTTTCGTACGGTGATACGCCTAGACGACAAGAAGTGGATGGAGCGGAGATTAACGCGGGAAGATGATACAGTTCCCATCTTCATTCGCAGCTGTGCGCTTTTTGGCGTCATCACCACTTTCCTCGAGCAGTGCGCTCAGAATCCAGACCAAATGGAACTCGACTTCGACTTCGAAACGCTCACGTTGATGATCCAACGAGCCATGGTTTCGGGATTGGGGTGGAGTCTGGTGCTCCCGACGAAAATTCAACGTCGATTCGCCGTTGCCGTCTCTGCATTCCTCCATAAATATCCAGAGGACAGTCTTGCGGAAGACAGGAGGCTCGGCCGGCTGCTTTGCAGCGCCATCAGTCCTCCATCCTTTCAAGATCCTCTGGGTTTTGAGAGCCGAGGGTGGATCAATGACCCGGTTGCATTGCAGGTCCTGGACAGGGCTGTTTTTGACACGCAGAAGGACTACGAACAGCCAACGCACCAGTACAATGCTCAAAAGATCCGCAAACGGATTCAAATGTGGCTCTATCTTCCCGAGAACATTTTTGCTGACTTTGTCTCGCTAGTTACTGATGGAAGCTGAAGGACCATCGTAGAGAATTGTTGTTTTCTCTGTGCTTGACTCAAGGAAATCCTTGATTTGCGTATGCCCCCTTCCGCCGAAGCATGACAGCTTGTCATGCTCAACTCAAAACAGCTTGAAGATGATTCCCCAAATTAACATTGACTGATTCGGATGCAGTCGTGCTGGAATCAGGACAGTCGCTGAGCATTAATGAATTCCAAGATTCGGAGATCTGCCACCTCTTGGGACTGTGCGTTGGCCCAACGTCCCAGCCCATGTACGATTACACGAATATTGCTACAAATCTTGTTACATATCAACCTACCACGGTATCTGTTTCTCCTTGTCCGTTAGTGGAACGTACTGTGAGCGCCACCGTGAACAGCGAACGACGAACGACTGACAGCAAGCGCACCTGGACCGACATGATTCGTGTTTCCGTCACATTACCCTGGGCGTCCTTGTCCACTTGGACGATGTGCTGAGCGTCCGTGCCGACAGGGATGAACATACGCCCCGGCTGAGCCAGTTGCTCGACCAGAGCCTTGGGAATCGTCGGCGCAGCAGCACCAACGTGGATGGCGTCAAACGGCCCGCCCGCGAGGTATCCTTACCCCGTGTTGGAATATATCAGCCACTCGGAACCCCCGCGCGAAGGATAGACTCACCAAGGCGGCCATCTCCGACGACCATCTCAATCTCACCGCGCGCAAGCGCCTCCCGAGACACCGCATCTTTCCCCAAGTTCACGATCGACAGGTCGACTAGCTCGGAGATGTGATCAATGCCCACGACTTTGCCGCCCGGAGACTCGGAGACCAAGTGATGCAACACCGCGCAGAGGTACCCGGACCCGCTGCCGACGTCGAGGACGCGGGCGCCTGGACGGAGGAACGGCATCAGGTGGTCGATCGCATACGCGTGCATGTGCGGGGCACTGATCGTCGCGCCGTGGCCGATGGCTCTGCGAAGAGCGCGTCAGAAAGACTCGTGTTCGATGGCATGGTTTTAGTACGGGGATGTGTGACGGACTGGGGCGAGTCCTCGTATGCAGTGCTTGCGTTCCGCACATAGTGCGCGCGGTCGACCGATTCCATAGCCTGTGTACGCGACAATGATGTTGACATTGCCGACTTATCCCTGCGGCCATGGACGAACTTTTGCTATGCGTTCCGGGTGATTCTCCAGTCGGATGATCTGCGAGTTGACCAGGTTCTGAATAAGCTCTTTGTTCGTCTTTCCCGTGCATCTCCAGGCCATGTTGAGTCGATGTAAGTGTCAAGCGCTGCGAATCATGAATGAGGTCAGTGTCATTGTCATCTGACCGTCGTAGACCAGATTCGTGATACATGAGCCAGGCTTCCCTGCCGTTCTACCAGTGTACATGCAATAATATATGCTACTTTAAATGATACAGATGCGACGAAAGCAAACAAGAAAGCAATAATGAATCTACACGCGACCGCTACGCGTCCTGCATCATCCTCGGCGATCCGACCTTCGACATATACATCTGCCAATGCTCCTGCAGCCTTGGATCCTCCGCCGCCAGCCCACGCATCGCGCCGTCCGGGGTGTAATGCGAGTCAAAATGCTCTGCCGGTAGCCGGTAGTCGTAGTGGTAGCCGTTCCACTGATATTGTTGCTGCGGCTGCGACTGCGGGGGCTGCTGCTGATAGTTCGTTGCTGGCGACGACTCATCCATGTACACCGTCTCAGGGGTCGAGCCACCGGATGGGGGAGAGTGTGAATGCGCATGGCTGGCATGTCGAGCCACTGCGTGATACGACGACGAAGATGAGGAGGATGTGACCGGCCGCTGCTGCTGCTGCTGCTCGTAGTGGGACCGAGTCGGCTCGTATGCCGGTCGAACCAGCCCATGCGGCGAAACCGGCTGAGCATAAGAGTATGCGTAATGTTGCTGCTGCTGCTGCTGATGTTGCTGCTGCTGCTGCTGCTGCTGCTGTTGTTGTTGTTGCTGCTGCTGCTGTTGCTGCTGCCGCATTCGAAGCTCTTCCTGTCGCATCTCCTCGACATGCCGCAAGCGAAGCTGCTCCTCGAGCTGCCGCCGCCGGTACTCTTCCTCCTGTTGCTGTTGCTGATACTGATACTGCGCCTCCGGCGATGTGTAATACCCCCCTTGAATCTGCGCATTCAGCGTGACATCGAATCCGTTCAGCTCGCTGATCAGACTCGGATGCACTCCCGCGAACGACGGATTGTCCGTGAAAGGCTGCTTGGGCGAATCAGATAGCGAGCGCCCAGAAGGCGGAGTTTTGGCTGGCTTGGCTTTTGTCGTCAGCGTGTGCGTCTTCCCGCTGAAGATCGACAGCTCGTCGTTCTCGGCCCGCGACGGCTCAAAGATGTTGTTCGGGATCATCGCTGCGGCGCCGTTGCGCGACTCTTCGAACAGATGCAGCGCCCGTTTTGTCAGCCGCTGGATGATCGGCACGAACTTGCCTGCTCTGGAGCTAGGGCAGATTTTGGCACCTGCCTCGAACAGCTCGCATGCCTTCTGCAGCTCAATCAGAGCAGCCTGCGCCACTTTGGATCGTGTCGCATGAGTGACAACGGAAGACAGCATGATCTATGGGCGTTTGAACTGAGGAACAGGAGAAACAGACGCGCGAGACCACTCACCGAAGCAGAGAAAGCATGCGTCCACAGCACCCAGAAGCGAGCAATCTCGGATGGAAACACTTTGAACTGCTTCCTCAGGGCCGAAAGCAGTCCACATGCACTCTGGTACCCAGCCAGGAACGAGGGCGCGTAAGGGCTCTTGATAGGATCATTCGGGTGGTTGGAGATGGCATGTGCGAAGAAGCATCGGTGAACGTAGAGAAGCGCTGGGTGTGTTTATTAGATAGACACGCGTGTTACCTCAGGGCACGCACCAAAATGTCGATACATTGTCGGCATCCAGTGACTCATAAATGCCGATAGCGGGATCCCATCGGGCCGGGGCCCCATGGCGTATTTCGGCAGCTCCATATCGCGGACTTTGCGGTCGAGCTCGACGATGACCGAGTACTTGGGCGCTCGCGATGTGAGGGTGCCCTGCACAACGGCAGACACACACTCGGCCCCGAAGCGCGCCTTCCAGAAGGGGACTAGGTGCGGATCAGCGTCGCGCAGGGACAAGAGGACAGCGGAAATGACGTGCATGAAGATTGAGGGGTACCATCCTCAGCCAGGGACTGCTCGACGTCCTGCGGTAGCTCGCAGTCCACGAAGGGCAGCGAGAATGTCGGCAGCCGACCCGTCGCCAGGGCCTGAGAGACGCAATGAACACCGAAACAGCGCAAACGCAAGCAAGTCTACACACCTGCCAACAATCGGTGATGAACAGCTCCCAGAAGAGAGCGCGCCGTTTCTGGACCTCGGGTGCTTTCAAACCCCATCTGGCACAGTCACGGTCTGGGAAGAGGAGCGTCAGATTAGGCAAGACGAGACCGGAAAGGATGCAGTCCACTGACGGAGACCAATCTAATGCCGCAGGATCAGACAATGAAACTGCAGTGCGATGAATCGACTTACGCTTTGAGCCAGTTTCGTGGAAAGTCCAAAGATAGCCCAAGTGCTCTCGATGCTGTTTTCCCCAGCACACAGACCCTCGAAGATCGCCATCAACGCCAGCGTCTGCACAGTCGCGACGCTCGGCGGGCCCTCCAAAACAGGCTCGAGCGTCAAAGACGCTTTCGTCAACGCGTAATAGTACTCCGAATCTCGGACAGCACCCGCGTGTGGGACTGTTTCCGCCGCATTCGGATCGTGGGCTGCGGGAAATGGCAGACGCACGTCACCGAGTGCACCAAAGCACAGGATAACGTAGATCAGCGCGAGGTCGTGGGCGGTACCAATGGGCGGCGGACTCCCCCCGCGCGTCGATTGTCTTGGCGCATCGGGATACCACAGCGGGAGTATCTCGTCCTCCAGCTGACTTGACGTGACAGCGCCGAAAAACCACGGGGCCTGCGCCAAGTACAGCTCGCACAGACGCGCTGTCTCCTCGTAAGGCGGTAAACGGCCTGCCAAGTAGTCCAGGTCGATTCCCGACGCGTTGCCCGAGAACGGGAAGGAGGAGTTGAACGAGGCGATGGATGAAATGCCGTTGGTGTCTGGGCGACGCAGCACAGAAGCGCCAAGTGCGGAGGAAAGCGCATTGCTCCCGAGCTGGGGGATCAGTGGTGTTGATTTGGCAGAAGGACCTTCACCCTGCACAGCAGCTGAGAACACATTTGTAGTGGGGGCAGGAATGATATGTTACCATCAGAAGACTCTGGAATCGCACGGTAAGTTAGCAAACGACTAAAAAAGGCTGCACATGCAAACGCACCTCAGTACCAGCACTTCGTCCGTAAAATGTCGCAGCGCCGTCATCCCGGATAGCGAGGGTCCCAAACGCGTCGATAGAGTCGTCGATATCCTCTGACTCCCCGGCGTTTCCCTCCACGTTGAGCTCCTCCTGATTTTCGACAGCCGAATGCAGCTCGATGCTGGACTTGATTTTAAGCGACTCGCGGTCGAGCAGCGGATGAGACTCGCTCGAGGTGGTGCTCTGCAAGATTGCGAGGGCGTCTTCGAGACTTCGAATCCGGTCACTCATGAGCGCGATCTTCTGGTGCAGTTTCTCCGTGTCCGCTAGAACGAATCTGAGGAGGGGGAAACGTCCCGGTTGGATGAGCACTCGACGCCAGAAGCCCAAACAAGCACATACCGTGTACCCTGCCCTAATCACAGCGTCAGTGCGGGTGGCGGCAGCCCCAAGTGGAGATGGACGCACCAGTGATCAGGCTGCCGTTGGGGCAGATGGCGGAGCATCCTCGTCGTTTACAGCTGTAATGAGCGTCAGCCCTCCTGCCAGTCGCCGTATCCGCACGCAATGAGAGACGCAGAAATAGATAGCCCTCGGTAAGCAACGGGGATTAATATAATTATCCGCCGCGCCCCCATCAAGTTATTCGAGACCCCGCATGCACCGCGTTCGGGTCCACCACGCTCTTGGTCGGACGGGTACTCGGCAAACGCAAATGCAAAAGCAAAACGACAATCGGAATCTGGGAGGCGCACGGAAGCGGAAGGCTGAGACACTTTGCGTACCTCGAGCACGGGACGGTCTTGTCACATTTGAGCTTCAATCTCCTACATTCGGCACACGAAAGCGCGCCTGGGTGAGTCGATGCGGATCCGGAGAGGCACGAGAGCGGCGAGCAAAAGGCACGATGAGTGGAAGGGTGACGATGGGGTGGGCGCACGACAGATTAGCGAGGACGACAAGCGAAAGGAAGACGCAGCGAGAACGCACCTCGGGCCCGCTTGGACTCCTTCTCCTGCGCTCTCTGGGCGGATATGTCTTTCTTGACTGCCTGCGGCATACGGGGGAGGTCTGGACGCGGGTCCACCTGTAAAGTCGTGCGCGCGCGCGCCTAGTCGTCCACCGGAGAAGGTGGTGGCAAGAGAAAACAGGATTATGGCAAGGGTTCCCAGATGGCTGCCGGCGGATTATGCTTTCCTTCAGAAAGACTTCTTTTTGCTTCCGTTTGGCGCACACCCCACGAGGTCAAATGGGGAAAGATCACCTTATCCTCGACAGGATCATGTTCCTCGACAGCCATCAACTTCATCACATCGTCTCCCCTCACTCCGAACATTATCTGGAGAAGCCGCCCAGCCTCGTGTGGGGAGGCTCGAGGATTGTCTTGCTCCCTCTCCCACTGACTCCCACCTCCCTCCTCCAATCATGCAGAAAGGGCTTGCCCGATTTGCCGCTGCAGCCCTTGTCAGTCTTGCTTACACTATCCTGACTTCTCGATTCGGATAGAGCCGATTCAATCAACGTCAAAGCTGCATAATTCCCACGTCGAAGTCATGTGGTCACGTAATCTCCTTGGACTTCATACTTGATACTATGTGCTCGAAATCAGTTGAAATCAGCCTGACGGTTGCACTGATGAAACTCCAAGTACGCACTGCAAAAGCAGTGACAGAAAGCCCGGCGGCGAGCCGCGGCACGCAATCCGGAGATTCTTTAGATCGAATCAAGCACACTCCCATCCGAGCCGAGACCTCAGTTCGCAGCCCCACTTCCAATTTGGTCACAGCAGCAGGCGGGGGGCGTCTGGGATCTGCAGCCTGCCTGCCTGCCAGCCAGCGATTCGTGTCCGCAGCATCCCACACCACACCAGCGCCACATCCGCCGGGGCGTGCCGAGAGCACCACGCCAGCCTCGCATTCTCGCTCTGAGACGGCTGTCATCGGGGCGGACGCGTATGTAAGCCAAGCCAGGTGTCAACATCCACAAGGCGGTCCCTTATTCGCATTGGAGCCTGTTGACGTCTCGGGCTGCGTGAGTGGCGATGGAGCCTCTGCACGAGACTCGTCTGAAGTATATGATCTGTAAGTACATGATCTGCCAGGCGAGGGTTATTAGCCACGACCGTGATCGGCACCATCCAGCTTGCGCCGACTAATTCTGAGCCTCGTCGTCATCCATCGTTCCAGGGCCTTTGTGCACATGCAAGATGTGATGCCCACACACACACTTCGATTAGATGCTGTTGTCAGCCGGTGGGAACCAAATTTAGCACCTTCTCACCGCCTTCAGGACCCAGGCAGGTGTATGCACATCATGATCATCTTTCCAGACAGGTTTCATCGTCTCCGGTAAAACACGAAAACATCCGACCCGAGTGACAAAGCAGTGTCTGCCCAGTCCCTGTGATAAACGTGGAAGTAAACGTGAAATTTATACAGGCGTGACAAAAGTACAAGAGATGTAGTAAGTATGGGAAAGCAGGGGACCGAATGCGAGATATGCCAGATGTGTGATGTGTGATGCGTGAGATGGAACCGAATGCACGGCTCGTCAAGTATCCCTCAAGACGACTTGAGCCGTTCATACCCAGAGTTCGGTCGACTGCCCCAGCCAAACCAGCTCCCGCGTGACTGAACACCCGGGCGGTCACCCTCGCGCGTATCATAGCCCTCCCCGTCGCTGGGCACCTCGACCTCCTCGAATCGCCCCGAAACGCTGTCCACGCGGTCCCGCGGCCCGCGGTGAACCAGGTCATTCCCGGACGAGCTGCGCGAGTACGTCGTCGAGGGCGAGGCCCCGGGCGTCAACACAGATCCGGGCGACAGGGCGGACGGAAGTCCCGAGTCGAGCGCCGCCAGTTCCGCCTCTAGCTGCCGCCTGCGCTGCAGAATGCTCTGCGCCGCACCGGGATCGAGACTCGTGGGGAACGCGGTCGGGGCGGATCCTGCGGCATCGTATCCCCTGAAGCCGGAGCCGAAGCCGGAGCCAGGCGCCCGCTGCTGGGGCGCCGGGCGGAGCATCGCCGCGCCGCTGGCCACGATCCCGGGCCCATAGGTCGCCCAGAGCCCGCCAACTATGCCGCCCAGTCCACTCGGCGGAGGTACCGGTGGCTGCTGGACGGTGGGATCGATGGACGGCTGCTGGCCACTCCCTAATCCGAACTGATCCCACAGCGTCCGGAACTGTTTCTGCAGGAATGCGAAGACGTGCGCGCGCAGCTGCGCGAGGAGCGAATCGATTTGGGTCTCGTGCTCGCGGAGGAACGGGTGCAGGTGCACGGTGTAGATGTATGTGGATCCCTGCGTCTGCGGCAGCGCGAGGTAGAGCAGGAGGATCGTCTTGAGTGTGTAGTAGAAGGGGATCCTGGTCGTCGGAAATCAGCCCGTCGTCGTCTCGACACCACTTGAGACAGATGCGCACCAACAGATAGCCCATTCCGCGACATACTCCACACTAACGATGCAGCCAAGTACAGACCAGTACATGAGCCATCGCTCCAGATCCTCCTCGGATGCAGGACGCTGGCTTAACGTTTTGTACGAGGCGTACCCTGGGTACAGGAATGCGACAGCGGAACTAGTCGACGAACACACATGAGCGAAGCTAGGGGATGGGGTTGGATGTTGCCCACATTAATATCCGTGAAGTCAGAAAGAAGATCATGGTTAGAGTCAGAGTCGAGGGGTCAACGTTGCAGGCAACAGGTCTCGTTTAAGAGACCACAGCTGTTTCGCCCACTGGAATTGGTCACATGACCAGAGAGGTTGGTCAGACTCCTGACGTAACTGGGACCATAATTCTTTTGCTCTCTTCAGCTGCAAAGGTATTCTCGTAGGTCTCGTTCTCCGATAGTGGTAGATTTACTCCAACCCAAGGAATATCCACTGAACTCGCAGTCTGCTGTTGTTTCGGGGCAATCTCACTCTGGAATTCATTCTTTACGAAGAGTTGGAAGATACTCTGCAGATGATCGGGGTTGGGGCCCGGACTTTTGAGGAGGGGATCCGAAAGATAACACTGGCGTGTGCAGGGGCTCAAAGTATGACAAAGTCATTGATGAGGGCACTCGTGGAAAGATTGCGTGTAGATCCAGTCCTACATAGTCTTGCTTCGAGCCCCCAAACTTTGAGGACTATATTATCCCGTGCACCGCGTGCGGCGATCGGATGTCGAATATCCGTCTGCAGCGATTTCCATGAATCTACTGCGGAAGAGGAGCACGGTTGAGGAGACACCGTGGCCAATAAAGCATGGTCAAGTGGATACGGACAAAGAGAGGTATGAGAGTCGCATGGAGAGACAGCGCCCGGTTCGAATAATGAACTTATCTGGTTGCTGCCACAGGTCAACGAAGGACCCCACCCTGCAGCTGCTTCGTTCTGTTCTTTGCAGTCAAAGCGTCTCTTACCTGCGCACGCGTTTGGAGCGTTACTGTCTCTATGACTTCCATCCATCGTTGGTGCTGGAACGCAAACTTCGACTGTGGTGAATCTCACCCAATCACCTGGGGTGACGAGAGCGTGCCTCATCCACCCATCCAGTCTTGGCTGATTTACGGAGCGAGCTATGTAGTCTTTGCGTCTCAGAATAGAAAAGTGACATAACATTGGTTGAGACACTTGTGGTCCAATCCTTCGTTGCTTAACTCTTCCCCCTCAGACAGAAGATGCCTGCGGTTGCCCAGGGCATGGACGCGTGTTCCGGCGCCGTGTCGAAAGCGAAAGAGTGCGAGTTATTCAAGCGTCGTCCACGCTCAGCAGTCCTGGTCAGTGGGTTTATCGGACGGGGTACATCGAAATCGAAGACTTGACATGCATAGAATACCTAAATATAGGACGGTGTGGTTTGTAGCTTAGCAACCTCGGAAACACGGGTGAATCGAGAGGACAAATAGCAGTTACTTGGAGTCATATGAGTCGGACGGACAAGGCTTCTTCGACGGCGAGCGAAGGAAATCGCCCTGGGACGCGGCCGCCGATTGACGAGGGAGCTTGAACGATGTTGCTGCTGCTGCCCTCGACTCGCCGGCAGACGCCGACGCAGTGTTTCCTTCCTCCGCTGTCCTTGTGACAATGTCCTCATAGCGAGAATCCGGGACGACATTCGACGGAGTGTTTGCAGTGAAACCGCCATCCCCTCCCTCGCTCCCATTGTTGCTGCCGGAGCGCAAACTTTGGCTGTCGTTGATCGAGTCAAGTTCCGCCCTCTTGTCTTCATCGTTCGGTAGCTTGTACGGAAGAGCGCGGCCACCCACGGGCCAGGTTTTGAGAGCAAGGGCTTGATCGAAGAGAGAGTGCACATCTGGATACAAGATGTGTCCGGTCCAGGTAGAATGCAGGGTTTGAGTGCAGTCAGCGGTTTACCAGAGAGATTCTGAGCCATGACGAGGTCTTGAAAATCACTTGTCAACGACCACAAAGGGAAGCCACTTGGGGCGTAATCTTCCTCGCGAAAGAGGGATGATGACTTCATGACAAATAGACAGACGGAACTGAATAACCCAGAGAAGCGCCGAGGACCAAGCCGATGTTCCGTGTGTCGCAAGCAAAGCCAGATGAGCAGCCAGTACAGCGACTCGAGATCGTGACCCTGCGCGTGCTTTGCGGTCGGATTTTTCTGGAGCATCGCTAATGCCATGAAAGAGGGGGTACCCTGCGAAGTCCAAGTCGATCTATACACCATCCAAACAAGAGCACGCACCGTGCTGCCCTTCGTTCGCCTGTCCTGATCCAGGAAGAAGTGTCGGTGCGGCCTCGGCTTGACGACATCCCTCAGAACTCTCAGCGCCTCTTCACTCAGCGCAGCGTAGTCACAGTCGACGACAAAACCATTGAGCCTCTCGGGCTCGAGACAATTCTCGATCAACAGCACATTCCCTGCCCTGATGTCCTGTTGGACCGCGCCAGCTTCGTGTGCGCGAATGAGTTCTGCGGAGACGTAGAGGAAGAAGAGCTGGGGATTGTTCGGACAACTCACGTTCTGCCGCTTGAGACAAGCCATAAACCATCGTCCTCGTGCTCGGGAACTCTTCCATCCGAACCCCGACGGGCGTAAGCAGTGTGCGCATGTGATACCGACGCGAAGCAGCGAACTCGCCGACAACAGATCACGTCTCGTGCTGCGCTGGATCCCAGGAGGGACCCGACGCTCCGTTCTCGTAGACAGTATCTGCCTCGGGCGCAGACAGATCGATGCTGCCGACACACCGCGCAACGCCATCCATGCTGAGGCCCTTCTGTTGTAGTAGTGCTCGATCAGCATATAGCAGTCCACTTCCGGCCGCAGAGTGCCCAGCCGCCACGAGTCTTTCAGCGCATACACACGCGGAAGCCCTGCCGCAAGGTCGTGTTCCAGCACGACCCGATAGGCCCGCGTCGTCCGACCGAACAGTCCGTGCGACAGGTAGAGCGGCTTGCCAACCGTGATGCAATTGACCACGACAGGCTTTCCACCTTGCTTATTGTCGAACACGACGGCCTTCAAGCACCGACTCGTCTGCATGGCCACGCCTTTGTCTGGGAACAGGTCCATGTAAAATTTGTGTCGCGTGATAGCGTTGTACGCGGCATCCCGTCGCGACTGGGAAGCAGGACGCGCAGTGTCGTCGTCCCCTGCAACGCGGCCTTGCTGCAGTCCAGTCGGGGTGATGGAGTCGGTACAGGAAACGCACGAGGATGTCGGGGAATTCCATCCAACTGAACGCCCGCGTCGCAACGAAGCCAGCCGTGTCGAAACAGAACACGCGCGCACGAGGTCCAGACATGGAGACGACGTACGATTGTGTTCGTCCAGACGCGATCTGCAGGTTCCTGGCTGTTTGCGCCAGCTGCACCATGGCATACGGCGCCTTCTCACTCGATTCCAAAAGGACCTGCATCCCTCCATCCTCTCCACGAACAGTCTCAAGGACGTGGAAGTTGAGCTGTACTGCCAATGCCACAGAGCCCCAATCCCAGCTGCAGCCCTCCAGGGGCGGTTTTGTTCCAGGTAGCAGTCCGATGATGTCCGGACGAGCGACATAGTCCCGGTCATCGTCGGGAAAAGCGAACGAGTGTTTACTCGTGTCGTGGAAGCTGGGACGGTCCGATGTGTCAAAGCGGTGGACAATCGAGTTGAGGATCGGCAGCCGTCACAAACGAGGGTGTGTAACGACCGAAAAGCGGCAGTGGCGCACGCACAATATCTGTCGTCCGCAACACAGCTCCTCTATTCTGGCCCTCCTGCGTTCGATTGACCCCAGAGCTCGCGAATCTCGCACGGGGGTAGTTCAACTGCTCGTGCAGGACCGTGTCCTCCATCACATCCTTCACTACACTCGCTTCTTCCCCTCGGGACGGTGGCATATACTGCATGAGAAAGTCCCCCGCATGCGCCGCATACTCGAATCCCCTACTAATCTTGTTCCATGCGTACATGACCGTCTCACGGGAGGTGCGAAGCCCGGCGCTAGTGTTCTGGCTTGCGTGTCTTTTTCAGCCGACAGTCAGATCGCCAGAAGCCAGAAGCCAGAACCGGAGATCAGGGCGAAGGAGCAGAAGCACGAATGACAAGCCTCTTGCTGATGGGAATGAGTGTGCAAAACTAAGCGCCGTGTCTGTAGGACCGGATTTACGGTTTGATACGCGTCAGTCTTTACAAGTAGGCCCTCTCAGTGCTTAGCTCGTGAAACCCGGTTCACTAGCCAAGAATTGAGCGGCCTTGGTAGCAGTTTGAGCCCAAGAATGGTTCCGTGTGACGACTGTGACTGATCCCGATATGCACACCTGGGGGCGAAGATGCACCTGTAAATTAGTGCAGGATTCATCCCCTTTATTTTCATATCCAGCTCCAAATGGTGAGGAAGGAATTGCGACTCATCGAGGACCCCGTCTCGACGTCTATAGGGTTAAGAGACATTCTATCGATGTGCTAGATGGTTGGTATCCTGTTCTATAACACCAGAGCCATGACATACAGATATCGTATTTCATTTTATTCTCGTTTATTCCCCGGTGTCTCGAGCGACATGGTAGGGACATGAGTACTATAATTGTAAGTAATGTGTAACAGCTATGGATTTGAGTGGAAACAACGACATGCTGGCCTTGCCCGAGGGCCGGCGAAGCGGCATAGTCCGCATGAGTAAAGTAGAGTTGGAGATGCAGATGAATATCATATTATGTTATTTTCTCAGCGAGGAGTTCAAAGACTCACTCAGAGCAGACGCGTGAGAGAAGAAACTGCACACACACAAAGCGGTATGAGAGAATGAGCTGAAGGACGGATTGAAGTCGCCGCTGTCGTGCCTCCTCCCACAGCTTCAAGAGCAGAGCGCAGATCGGCTGCTGCGCTCCCTAGCGCACTGGAGCTGAGAGATCGCTGCAGGCAGGAGCCGCCAAGTACGTGGGGAGCAGTCTTCCTGCTCGTTCCCCTGATTGAGCGATTGTCATTCAAAATTGTTATACAGATTACATGAGACAAAACGATAGCAGAAATAAATCGAGTATATCAACACATCAAGATGGATCAATCAAGAGTCAACCTTGGCTGCTTCAAGCTGCTTGCTCTTCCTGCGAGCGTAGTATTCGCTCTGTCTGGCGCGCTTCTTAGCATCCAGCAGTGGGCCGTTGCCGTTGTTCTTCATCACACCCATGCTACCACGCTGGGCCTTGACCCCAAGACTCGACCGGGCGCGACCATTCCCAGCACCGAGACTCTTTCGTACGACAGCGCTACTCGTGGCGACGGAAGAACCCGACGCGACGCGCTGCGACGCCAGTTTGGCAATGACACGTGATCGTGAAATCCGGGGCTTGCGAGCAGGAACCAGTTTGCCCTTGCTGCGGGGTTCTCCGGTGCTGTTGGTAATCGGGTCGAGCACAGGCTTTTCGTGGACCGAAGGCAGTGCACTGGGGGTCTTCGACAGGGATGGTGGTGCATTGTGCATCTTTGCCAGGGAGCTGGCAGTAGGAGCCAGAAGCCGAGACGAACTGGACAGACGATTCACGCTTTTGGTGGACGACGTCACACTCGTTCGCGTCCCCATAGATCCAGGCCGAGAAGTTGTTGGACGCGAACCCATCGATGACATCGTACCGGACTGCCGGATCGACGAGGCACTGGACGAAGGGGCCTTGGACGACGAAGTCCCAACAAATGCGGCAGGAATTGGAGCCCGAGAGACTGTGCTGGAAACGCTGCGAACTGACGGAGCACGTAGACTGGGAGCAGCAGAGGCCTTTGTCACCACCGGTGGAGCAGGTTTCTTCAGGACAGGCGCTGGCTTCGGTTTCGGCTCAGGAGCAATTGTGGCTTTCTTGCCCCATACTCCTTGGACCAGTTTTGCAGCACCTGCGAGGAATCCAAATCGCCCCGGCTTGGCCTTGGGTTTCACTGGAAATCTTCAGCAAACTAATCAACGCAAGTCTGACGAAATGCTCACCAGCACTGCCTCTAGCGACACTGCTCCTTCTCCGTGCCCTGGTTGCTTCAATCTTCTTTCGCGCGGCCTCACTTTCGCGTCTCCTCTTACGCGCATCGTCACTCTCAGCTTGTTTTCCATTCCCAACCTCATCCACTCGCACCCGCTTCCCTCGGTTCTGATCATCTTCCTCCGGTCGAACATTCGCTGCGCTCGACTTGCGCTTCAGTTGCTGCTGCCGCCGAGCCTCAGAGTCCACGATACTCTCCATCTTTCCAAACACCTGCTCGTGAGCCTTGTCAAAGCGACCGGCCGGCTTAGACACCGTACACCCGAGCGATCTTCTCGCGCTGCCAGGAAGCGGTCGAATCTCTCGCGAAGGAACAGATGTTGCCCCGGCCCGACGATTCATCTCTGCCATCACCTCTGCTGCCAGTGCGGTTTCGGTGGCAGCATCTGTCTCAGCAAGTTTGAAAACGAACGGAGTCGCCGGCGACGGAGAAGGCGTGCCAAACACAAATGGTGGAGCTGGAGATGCTGAACCTCCGGGCATAGCGATGTCCTCGTCACCGAAACCCCCAGGCATAGCGATGCTCCGGTCATCGTCCTCCTGTGCGCCTCTCAGGCTGACTTCAAGACTCATCCGCCGTTCTGATTCATCCACCGGTGGCGAAACCGGAAGAGCAGGATAGATGGATGCAGGGAATGCCGAGGTCGCCGTTGGACTGCCCATATCCAGGTCGAATGTAGTGTGGAATGGCTTGAGTCGGGGCGTATCGCCAGGCGGTGGCATGTCCGAAAAAACGCTGCTGTTTCCGTTTCCGTTGTCGAAAGACACGAGTCGGATAGTGGTGGTCGGACCCCGTTTGCTCGGTGTCCGCGGTGCCAACCCCAGGCTCAGGCGCGCATTGAGTGGTGCAGGGGCGCCGGGACGAAGGGTGTGGCCGGGGAGTGGCGCAGTGCCTAGCAGCGGGTTCAGATTGGCTGCGACTACGGCCGGGTCGGAGGTGTCGAAGGTGAAATGGTCGGTTTGTAGGCTGTCCATAGCTGGCGGGGGAAGAGAATCGTAAGGAATAGACGTTTTCGAAAGCTCGTCCGTGTCCGGGGGAAGCGGGAATGACGAGAGGATGGAAGAAGACGCTTTCGACGAGACGGTATCTAAGGCGCGCGATGAGATGCTGGCGCTGGTGGCATTTCGTTTCAAGCCCAAAGATGATGCCAACGCTCTTATAGATGATCCAACCGCTGCACAAAGGGAATGAGTGAAATTGATGCAACAAAGGGAATGACCTACATTTAGAGCTCGTGCTTCCTGAGCCGAATTCTCCAGCTAACGTGGTGCTGCCACTTTTCTGCGACGAAAGTGTTCCTTGAGAGGATCCTTCGGACTCCTCGGTAATGCTTTCCATGATAAGCTCCCATTGGGAGCTTGGACGGGGATTCCACGTCTTATCCTCTCCTTCGTCTTCTTTCGGCTCTGTCTCCTCATCTTCTACGTCCGTCATGTTCACGTCGTCACCATCCTGCTCGCTTCTGAAGGCGACACTCAGCGGGTCGTTCTTGGGCAGCGTCTTGGCGTGATGTTGGAGTCGCTCGACAAGCTCGACGTTCTTGCCATTGGCTTTGATGGAGTGGATTTTGCAAAGCTTGACAAGTTGATCGCGTTTGAGAGAGTGAAGGGCCGGTGAGTTGAACAGTATATCTGTAGTGGTGGACATAACGAACGCCCTGTCGGCGGTCAAGCGGCGGGAAGATGGAAAGATCGGGACCAGGCCTTGGAGCAAACAACCAAACTCTGTCACGTGTCCGCGCGACGCGGTTGTTGGGCCTTGTGATTTGTCCGCAGTGATGGGGGGCCAACCCATGTTTCGGACACCGTCTCAACTCCCCCTGGGCTTGACCTACGCAAGACCCATCGTCGTCGAGGAATACACTTTTGGAGATTACACTGAATCTGAATTTGATCTCATTCTACGCGCGCGTTCTGCTGCAGGTCACATTGTCTCATGGCGCACACCTTCTAACACATCTCGCGCATTGCGCATTGCGAACAGTGAGACCGGATCCAAGTCCGCCCAAAGACCACTCACCAAGATTAGACTGTTATGAACTCTCTTATCCTCCACCAATGGTTTCCTCAGAACGCAATCACGCCTCGAGAGCACTGCCTGACTGGGACACCGAAGTGCAAATGGACGAACTCTTCTGCATAGATGAGCTCGAGCCGTTTGAGAATACCGATCTCTTGCAAGCGATGATAGCTCCATCTCAAAAACGATCCAATTCGCCACTCATCGAACCATTTGATGCTAAGCGAAGAAAGCTGGACGTCTCTTCTCTGCGGAATTGTATACCTCGAGTGCGTTTTTGCCTGCAGCGACCCCTGGCTTCCACTGATGCTCCCTTCTCAGCCGCATATGTATCCTTCAACTCATACAGCACTCACTACGAGTCGTTATCCTACCTACATCAAATCAGAACCCATTGCAATCCCACCGTACGCCCTTCCTCTCCCTGCTCCGCTGCCTTATACTCGTCGGAGTTGGCTTATTCCAATTCGTGGTGAGCCTCCTTGGCTGCATGCTTCGACTGCAGTCGTACTCCGAGACCCTCCAGAAGCGATCCATGACCAAGAGAGAAATCAGTTGCACTGGACTATCGCCTCTGTTCAAGCCTTCTGGGACTTTCTAAAGGCCAACCGCAGCAGGAAGTCGTTCGGTGGATACGGTCTATCCTTCCATATCACACAAATCTATGGGGGCGATTACACACAAACTCGCAGCCAGTCTGCGTCGTGGCTAGGAGGGTTCGGCCAGCCCGTCAGCGCGTCAGACCGCGACGAAGATCCCGACGATGAAGACCGCGATGCTTCGATGCACCAAGGCCTGGTCAAGCATGCCACGGCGCTCACTGCTATGGATCACATTAAGATCTACCACGATGCACAGTTTTCGATGGAGATCCGCAGCCTTCTGCATACCTGGGCTTTTGCATGTTCTGAAGCAGAGAAGATTCCTCTCCTTGAAGGGTCTAAACTCACTCTGCTAGACGAGCGAATGAATGGTATACTCATCTTGTGACATTCTATATGAATCACCTATACCCGTACTCTCCTGTCGTCAGTAGAGTATTCACAGCGAATGACAAAATCAGCTGTTGCTCACGACAAGCCGTTGATCTGGATTGCAGTCGGTGCTTGGCCTCCTTTGTATCGCGGCAACCCCCGAGCTCGTCTATCACTGCTACTTTTTCGAGAGAATGGCTGCTTCGAATCCCGTCGCTGGTCCCTCTCGACTCACTGGTCACAA